TATGCAACCTGCAATCAGTTGCAGATTTGCAATCGACCTGGAAGTAGTGGAAAGTGAGGGTGGAGTCTGTCCACTGAGCAGTTGCTGGTTGCACCGGTTGCCTCTGACTGGTGACAAGGGCAGAACCGCGTCAGTCTTGCGTTATAGCTCAACGACATCATCCGTACAGTTCGTGCCTGCTATCGTTATCCACCGAGGCGTCACAGTTCACCGACTTCGCCCAGCAGTGCTTACCGGCCGTCATTTCCCCTGATGGCGCCGCCGGTTGTTGACGGCTGGATGGGCGCGGCAGGTGGAGCTGAGCCGACACGTGCTGGAGCTGGCGCTGGACCTGCTCTGGACACACCTGGACGTGTACCTGGTGCGGACGGCGCCCGAGGCTGGCGCCGCGCCGCTCCGGCCCGCCGCCAGCTGCCAGCTCTACGGTACGGCCCGTCTCATGGGAGGTCACACCCGAACGGCGGACCAGGGCGTCTGGCGTCGGCCGACCCCCTGCCGCCGCTGACGGCCGGCGTGGCTACTCTGGAGACGGCAGGCTGTCAAACGAGCGACTCGTCTTGGGTGGTGGCCATGAGCCGACTGTGGCGAGCGGCCAATGCCAGTAAGGTGTCAGATGGTGGTAGATGGGGCGATGAAATGAACGCAGAAATGTCGGCTGGCTGCGTCATGCAGAGGCCGCTGGTGCGCGGTGTTAACCGAGGTGGAGCGCGAGGTGTGAGCTAGTTTTGTGGAAGCGACTGCGACCAGCGAACGTCAGGCTTGCGCGGCGCCATGCTGTGCTCGGCTCATGCGTGCAGTACTGCGCAGCGGGTAAGCAATCGAGGGGATCAGGACATGCGCTGGGTTGAGACAGGTGTCCGGGGAAGGTTCGCACCAGGCATGTTTGGGCACGCTCACCCGTGACCCACGCGCTCAGCCCACCCCGCGTGACCCTCGTGACCCGTGCGGCGGCAGGTCTGGCCGGCGGCGACGGCGACTCGGCCGGACCGGTCGGCGCCTCGCTGCTGGCCCAGCTGAAGCGGGAGCTGCCGCAGGCGGTGACGGACACCCTGCTCGGCCAGGTGGAGGCGGCGCTCCAGGTGAGCCCGACACGCGGCGCCGGCTCCACCCGCCTGCCACCGGCGCCCAAGCGGGTGGTGGCTTCGATCTGTGCTGTAGAACATACGGCACGCCGGCTCCACCCGCCGCCACCGGCGCTCAGGCAGATGGTGGTTTTGGTCTGCTATAGAGCATACGGAACGCCGGTTGATAATGCCCGTGCGTGGCGGCGGCGGCGGGTGTTGCTTTCTCGTTCCGAAGACAGCGTGCGGTTTCGTAACTCATTACCATTTGTCCGGCCGCGGATGTTCTCACGCATGTGTTGATGGTGTCAAATGTCGGCGCTGGGTGTCACGCCGGCGCCATTGCGGTCGCACCTGGCTAGTGGTGGCCTCCGCCCCTCAGCCGCGGCCGCGCGGTAACGCCCTCCCCCCCCCCCCCCCGCCCCTCCCCGCGTGTCCGGCAGCACCCACTGGTGGGCCGCAGCCACTACAGCTTCTCCGAGGCCATGGTGCGGCGGCTCCGACGTGTGACGCGCCTCCACACCGGCGCCTGATGACGTCCGGTGGCGTCTGATGACGTCTGGTGGCGTCTGATGGCACCCGGTGACGTCCTGTGACGCCCGGTGACGTTCTGTGACGCCATGTGACGTCCTGCGATGCCCGGTGACGCTCGGTGACGGCCTATGACGCCCGGTGGTGTCATGCGACGCCTGGTGACACTTGGTGAATTCGTGTGACACCGGACGATGTCCTGTGACGTCCTGTGACGCCCGGTCATGTCCGGTGACACCGGCTGACGTCCGACGATTGTCCCGTGATGCCGGACATGTTCGTATGTACGTAATCAACGTCCGAGGCTTTTGTTGGACTCCGGTGGCGTCCGATATGGTCTGATGACGTCTGGTGGCGTCCAGTGACGCAGGGTGATGTGCGACGATGTCCCATGATGCCGGGCATGTCGTTTGATTGCGCAAGCAACGTCCCACGGCGCCCACTGACTGCCATGGCGTCGGCTGACGTTCAGCGACGCTCCTTTGGTGCGGCGGTGCTCCGCGAAGACCGGGCGTTGGGGCTCGGGGTTCAAGCTGCTTTCGCTCACCAAGCATCGCGGTAGCGTTTCATGTAAGCGTGCGCAGTAGCTGGCGGATCAGATTTCGCTCGTGGGTTATGCCGGCGGGACCACACAGCTTGAATCGTTGGTTATATGCTCGAGGAACGCTGTTGGTAGCGAACAGCGGGCAAACAGCCGCAAATAAAATTACGAATGCGTTTTTTTAATTGTTTGTCTTTTTGTCCGATGGTCATCGGGGTTGTAAGGCGCACTGACTTCTAAGGCCATTTTGCGCCCGGGTAGTATTTTTGTTCAGTTGAGCGCGGCCAATTGGCTCATTCCAGCATTCCACGCCCTTGTGTTCGTTTACGCCCTACCGTGATGGTCTCCCTGCAAGCAGCTTCCAGAAATTAAACCAGACCCTCAATCCGGCGGTGAAGTCGCGTCGCCAATATTTGGCGCACACAGAGCCCGAGCCAAGCTGATAGTGGCGGCTGTTAGATCCGCGCAGTTGCTTGGCATACATGCAACTGGGGCGCAAATAACCAAAGCAATTGGCGCGCCTTATAAGCTCGATAACCTACCGACTCGAGCTGTCAGCTGAGCACCACGGTATGCGCTGGCTCGAACGCCGTCGCTGGCCGCAGCGCCGCACTCCGCCCGCTGCTGCCGGGCCAACTGGTCAGACCATTTAAGGGGACAGCATTCCGTGTTTTAGCAGATGACTTGATACCGTTCTTTTCCTCCGACAAGGTAAACCGGTAGCTTGGCATTGCGTCGATTTACGGCGGCACAGCGGACGCCACTGCGTTCCTCGGACGACCCGAAAGCTGAGCTGCTTTATGATGAGTTTATTAATCGGGCCCGGTAAACCAATGGAATAAATATTAAAAAACCGATATAAACCTAGGACTAAGGAGCGATAAACGCATGCGCGTTTATATAATATCACAATACACAGGGAGGGCCCAGTGAATGACTACCGGGGACCGAATTCACATGACACCAACAGGGCACGCGCCCACACCAAACAAGGTCAGGGAGTCGACAGGAATCCACTTCAGCTCAATTCCAGCTGAAGACATTCAGAAAACAGAAAATCGCCCATGATGCTAAGTTCGACCTGCTCGCAACCCGCCACCACCGCAGGCGGAGGAGGAGGGGATACCGGGCAGCCGCCGCCGTGTGCACAGGTCACAGGGCGGCGGTGTCGGTCGCGATCGCTCGGCTCGAGCCACCTTCGAAGGACAAGAAATTTCGACAGGTCTCGGGACACTCCATCGGTTGACAGATGAGGGTATAAGCCAGGAACGCGTGTTTCGATGGCGCACTCACGTCGTCTTTGTACTGGGTCAGGCGCCCGCCGGTCAGCGAGGTCACCGCCTGCTGGACGCCGGTCGGCCGCCGCCGCCGCGTACACCGGCACCTCTGTGCGCACCGTCTGCCAGCCGGCCGCCAGCCAGTCGCCCGACTTTCGCCGCGTACTTGGGCGCCTCGCGCTGCACCACCTCCCACACATCGGCGGCGGTGCGCTGGGCGGCGGTGACGTACTCCAGCAGCAGGGGCCCGCCCTCGCGCTGCAGGCGCCCCGCCGCCGCCAGCGCCCCCCGCCTTGACGGCCGTGGCGTGCGCGGCGGCCTGCGTCCCAGGCGGGCCCGGCCGCCACCAGCGCCGCGTCCCAGTACTGGCCGGCCGCCGCGCACGCGGCCGTTGCCAGTAGGGTGCCGCGGCGGCCAGGGCGGCGCGGCAGTGCGGCGCGGCGACCGTCCAGCCCGCTTTCGGCCGCCTCCCAGCCGCGGCGGGCGCTACCGCGATCAGCGCCACCGCCCGCTCGCCGGCAGCGCGCCGTAGTGCCGACGCTGGCGGCGGCGCGGCTGGCGGCTCCCTTCACCGGCTCCCAGTACGGCCGCTGGGTTTCCATGAGGGTAGCGGTCGACCGAGCGGCGCGCTCGGCCGCCCACTGGCGCGCGTGCTGCAGCTGCTGCAGCGCCTGCCTCGAGCGCCGGGCCGCCCGTGCTGCCGGGAGAAGCGCCGCCAGCGAGGCCCAGCTGGCCAACACGCGGCCGCGTGCACGCTGCAGGCCCATTTCTGACAGGTCGCCCTCGGCGTGCATGTAGACCACGCGGCCGGCCAGGCCGACCACCGTCAGCCAGCAGCAGCATTGTTGAGCTTGGCCAGTCCTGACCAGCCACCTGCAGAAGAATGGATGTCAGGTGTTGGTGGGGTAGGATATGCATGACAGCACAATAGGCATTTTTAGCCTGGATTTAGACCAGAGCAAACAAACTGGTGGAATGACGGCCAACGTTTGATTCTGGTTTTCACATGTCTCACCTTTTTGCGATTTTCCACCAGTATTCTTCTGTTTGACTGACTTGGTCTTGTGATCACCTGCATGACTTTGAGTATCACGTTCCTGTGCCTTTTTGTGTTGGTCCTTGACGTCAGTCTTTCTTTTGTCTTTGGTTTTCTTGTCAGCCCCCATGATTATTCAGTTCTTGCTGCTCTGGATGTAATTTGAACCTGAAAACAGAGCATAGTAGTGAGAGAAGGTCTGAAAAGATTAACTTGTATTTGCATTCCTCAAATGCAAAGTCTTATGGAGACCTTATGCATCTCACCTGATCACTTAAATATGATAAACTGACTTGCTGGGCTTGTGGGACTAATACACAAAACTATTCGCTTATTTTATGACATACACATCCCTCTTCTCAGGATAAAAATAATACAAGAGATGGTATTAGCCAGACTTATCAGAGCTCAGAAAATGCACCACACACTTGCAACTATCCACCGCATCTGACCTAATCAAATGCCCAGTTCATGAGCTGATTTATTCCTTTCCATGGGATTGTTTTTTCCACTTCTCATGATATGGATGGGAGTGATGATAGGGGTATCCATAAATGACATTGGACCTTTCTGCCTATTTCTGAACACGCTCTCTCTCTCTCTCTGGTTATGCTTTGGCTTCCTTGGACAAAAGCTCTTCGCCTTATTGGGCTGTACGTCTCAAGAAGGTAATGTCTGTTTAGCAGGAACTTGAGCTAGAGGTGTGAGCTGTGAAACAATGTGGGCATGCTAATAGTGATGAGAGAAAGCCAGCAATACCTGACTTCTATGGTTGCAAAATTTCAAGACAACCATAATTTAAATACAGCTGAGCATATCATACTGCCTGAATTGCCCTCTTTCTATCAATTGATAATGCTTTCAAAATCAAATGCAATTGTAATTCACAATTTGTTCTGCTGTGTTAAGACAATCCATCTTCATGTGGCAGCCTTGTCATGAAGGACATGACATTTCTACCATGAGACTGTCCATAAATCACATTACTTCTTTTTGGTTGGTTATCAACCATCCCCCCAAGTTGTACACTGGCTCCCTAATGTGAACAACTGCCTGTATAGTAACAATGTGCCAAATGTAACATCCTGTTAGGGTACTGTACATTTGGTACATAATGTAATGTACATTTATTATGACAAAGATGTGCTGAATCTCATACTCGAAACTGGTGCTGACTGTGCACTAGACCCTTGACCACTCAAGCTTCTTATATAGGTACATCCATACTTATTTGCTATATAGGTACATCCTGATTTGACCTGGAAATTCTTAACCCTTTTGCTGGCACTTCAAATTCATTTAAAACCAAACATGAGTGAACCATCACTGTTCGAAACCACACTCCACCTTGTTCTGGAGCGATGTACTTTTTGAAGATAAAACCCTACCCCTTCACCTGTTACATTAATTATGGGCATCCCCCGTGAAAGAAATGACAAGGATTTTGTTAGTAAAATATGTGACTTGGGAGAAGGGGCTGCCCACTAAGAACATACAGGCCCCAGCGCACACCACTTGAAGACCCACAACGCTTGCAGGGCGTACCACGCATGCTACATTCGGCATGTATCACACTGCTATCAAGAATTGCAGTTGATATTCGTAACCTGAATAACACACACCACTCAGCTGTAGACAGTTTGGTTCAAAAATCTTAACACCCACAGATGGCCATTTTGAAATTTACTTACTTTTACGCCCGACAGCACCGCGCGTCCTCGCCGCAACCACGCTTGAATGCCGCGAATGCCTGTGGGCGCCGTGATTTTGCTACTAGAGCGCCGTATTTGCAGATCAGCTGATCCGTTCGCTGTTGCATCGCACACGTAGCGCCGTACGTCATTCGCGGCGGGCCAGCTCAGCTACGATCCCATCTAGCGGCAAAACTTCGAACTATAGAACTATACGGTTATTCCCGGCAACGGCCGGCCGAGATTGGACGTGCCGAGTACCCTTAGGTTCAATTTGAGGTAGAATACATCGTAAATCCAACATACGTGGTTGTCAATGGACGACGTGAAGCTTGGCAAAAAAAAAAAACTCATGAGAATCAATCAAAGGCAATGACAATGCCTCCAAAAATAACCCACCCAAAACCGGATGCGTTTCGCGAATGCGCATTACAGCTTGAGCCGCGGAGCTAAAACAGGATGGTCCTGTCCGTAGTAGGGTATATCGTAGCAAATTATGCCGGATCGGCCTGGTCCTGCCTGCAACCGGATTCTGAAGTGTCACGGAAAACCAGAAGTTTTTTGCCGATGTTCTGTACACGTCTTCGCATGCCTTTCCATTCCAAGTATTCAAGTTTTTACTTCACTTTGTTAGGAATTATGCCGTCTATCGCTCGTTCAGCCAATGCATCAGGCAATACCTCTAACTTAACTGGCGATACT